GCTGTAAATAGAAGGTACAAATTTGGGCCAAGTACATTGCCCTGTGGTACACCTGAGTTTTCATGCTGGCGTTGTGAATATACGGAACCCTGTTTCACCCTAAATTGTCTGTCGATGATATATGATTTTAGTATTAAAAAGAAAAGGTAAGGCAGTAGTGTCTTCAGCTTACACAGCAGTCCCTCATGCCAGATCTTGTCGAACGCTTGTGATATGTCGAGGAAAGCTGCGGACCAGTACCTTTTCTCTTCCATGTCGCATCTGATCTTGTCGACAATTCTGTGAACCTGCTCTATAGTGGCATGCCCACATCGGAACCCAATGGTGTTCAAGAACCATTCGTTTTGATTCCATTAATATCAGTAATCTTCCAGCTAATAGTTTCTCGAAGATTTTTGATATAATGGGTAATAAGCTGATTGGTCGATAGGATTCAGTCATGTTTAAGTTTTTTTCCTGGTTTAGGAATCATGATCACCTTTGCGATTTTTCAAAGGTTGGGAAAGCTACAGGTTATTAAAACTGCGTTGAAAATATATGTTAGGAGCCTGATACCCCTTTCCGATAGTTGTTAAAGCATTTTACCCGTAATTTGGTCGTATTCAGGAGCTTTTTTGACATTTAGTTTTTTGTGAAGTATATCTCGAACTTCTCGAACAGTGAATCTTTTTTTGCTTATCCAGTTGTAGCGGTATTTCAAGATATTTAACGATTTCACTAACTTCATCCCTTGCTTCACAGTCGTAAGGTTGAAATACGTTATGTAAATGCTTTGAAAAAGTTGTTGCCTTCTCTGAATCCGTTCTTGCCCACTCTCTATCGCTCGTTAAAATTGGTGGAATATGCTATTTAGGCCGTTTGGTATTTTTAGTGGCTCTCCATAACGAGTAGTTTGTGTCTGTTGTCGGGCCTAGGTTTAATATGCAGGTCCTGCAAAGCATTGTTCTTGAGATCGTTCAGCATTTTTTTGATTTCTTTTGAACTGTGGTTAAGATTCCGTTTGTCGATTGGTGCTTTGTTAACCTTTCATATTCCTTAACTTACGTTTTTCAGCTATTTCGGCACAATGTTTTATTTTAGAAAGCTTTGCTTTCAGGTCTTGCCACCTTTGCTGCATTTGACATATTTGATTAAACTTTGCTGTTGCTTCCGTTACTTTGTTACTTTAAGTTTTAGTGGAATTTGCAGATCAATATCGTTATCCATTGCAGCTCTGTATGAATTCCAGTCTGTGTGTTTATTATGAAGTTGCTTTTTCATAGGTTTTAGAATAATTTTTGATGACACAGTAACTAATACAGGACTATGATCCGAAGATAGGCCAAGCCTTCTCCTTTGGTGACGTAAATTTGTTACGATCGACCTGTTAGTAGGCTTTCCTGTGAACGTATACCCCAATTTTAGCTCTTTCAAAGCCATATAGTTGTCTTCCTTTGTATGTAGATAACTGGGAACCTAATATCCTTCGCGTTTAGATCACCGCCTGCTATAACTTTATCTCCTAGAGTATGAAAGTTGTTTTTTATTGTTTTTTGTTAATGCTATGTTTTGGAGGACTATAAAGCGCTGATATTGTTACCTTACCTATCCAGTCATCTACTTCAATACTCGTTGATAATTATAGACGACCCTCCATGGGCTGTGCCATCAGGATGCATGGGGGAATGTAGTATAGTGCTGCATTTTAAAGTAGCTCCTACTGGTGAAATGCGTTTCGGATATTAGTAATATATCGATGTCATGTTCTTGTACAAATTCTTTTAGTTCTTGTCTGTGCTGCAAAAGGCCGTTGGCATTCCAGAGTGCCAGTTTTAGTAACTTAGCCATTGTTAAGTTTTATGGCGAGTTTTTATTGTATTTATTACTGATTCCATCTGTTCGCTTAATCTTTTTACCAGTATCTCCAGTTCCCGAGTATCATTATTGTTTAATTTTCTATTATGTTGTTGTTGACTAGGGACCTGATGAATGATATTTTGATGATTGGTAACAACCATTTCTAGAAACCCCTGAATTATTTTTAACTCTATGTGCGTAGCTAATATTTGGTGTGACCATGATGTGATTTGAGGAGGCAGGATTCAAGTTGTTATCCCTTTTGGGAATCATTTGTTTGACTCTGAGTGGTGAAAATTTCTTTCTTTGGAGCATTTTGTAGAGTTCACATCCTTTGTAATTTGCAAGGTGATTTCCAGCACAATATATACATTTGACATTATCATCCCTCTGTGTTCTCGCACATTTGGCTGTTTCGTGGTGTCGACCACACTTCACACATCTGGGTTTGTTGCAAAATTTAAATGTGCATACTTTCTATTATTTTATAAATCTCTTTATTGTTGTTTTTCTGGTAACAAATCCACATAGAAAAGTGGAAGTGGACTTCCATCTTTTCTACTTCTAATTTTAAGGACATTCATCACTTTGTGTTTGTAGGTTTCCAACTCTTCTATGATAATGAAGATGGGTGTAGTCCCCTGAGTACGGTGCGAAAGTTTCTTAAATGCTTCAGCTTATAGGTTTGAAATTTTACTTTTGATTTATTTAGTTCAACAATTGTTGCCCTGTAATCTTCAATGGTAGTTGTTTGTATCTTTATTTTTGTTTTGTCCATTACTTTAATGTTGTAATTGTTTTTGTTCGCCTTATTTAGGAGTTCATTTAGAGGTCTTATATTATTTAGCTCCGTTACAAATAAAGGTGGCGGTCTCGAACTGGTTTCATCAGTTTTGTTTTCTTCTTTTGTTTCATTGTTTTCTTTTTCTAATTCAAGAGCCAGTATTTCAAATCTGTTAGTAGCTGTTGATATGGGGCTCAAGCTACTCTCCCTTATTTTTTACTGCTTTGAAATGGGTTTCTTTTCTGGAGTATTTCTTTTCTTTTTTTCTGTAATAATGAGACTAGTTGTAGTCGCCTCAGTGTTCATTTGTGTTGCTATACTCATATTTGTCGTAGTTTACTTTTAGGTTTCTTTGTTTCTGATTTCAGCAGTTTCTTCAGTTCATTTATCTAGAATCTTAATAGTAAACGCAAACGGACAAAAATTTACATCAGTACCTACTACCTATCATTTTACAATCGGAGTTTTTGAGTCATTTGCTAAGATACTATTTACAAAATATATTATTGTCTTTTCCATAATCTTTTCAATATTTTTTAACTTAGGTAATGTAATTGGTGTCATAGTTTTAAAATACAGGCTGTTTCCATTTCAATTTGGTACACTAACCATTGCAGTAAAATACCGTTAACCCTATCGTATTCATCTCGTCAAAACACTGCGTACATAAATCTATCATTTTTGTATATTTATTCTAAAGTCCATTTTCTTAAAGTTTATACACTTGCTGTTAATAGTCTTAAATTAAAATTCAAATTAAGCTCAAGCGAAATTGATAAATTTAACTAGTAACGGAGAATATTTTTGTACAAGTATCTACATGCAAGAGAGCCCGCTGAGTATAAACCTATTGCGAAAGGGATTTCTACTACATTCCTTCTTCTTCTTAGAGTGCCTCTCCATTATGGAGGTTGGTTATCATCGTTTTGACGGTAGATCTTGAACAAACATCTCTAAACAATGTAGTGCTGGAACAGTCAAACCACTCTTCAAGATTTTTTAACCATGATTTTCGTTTTCTCCCTCTGGTCTTTGTGCCGATTATTTTGCCCTGCGGTACAAGTTGGAGAAGTCTGTATTTGTTGTTGCGCATGATATGTCCCAAGTAACTCAATTTCTTAATTTTAATGGTGTTAAGTAACTGTTTCTTCACCTTCATACGTCTCAGAACTTCAACGTTACTGATCCGGTCTGTCCATTTGATTCGCAGCATACGCCTGTAGGTCCACATCTCGAATGCGTCGATTTTCTTCTGGATTGCCTTATTGATTGTCCACGTTTCGGCTCCATATAGTAGGACTGGCCACACGTAGCATTTCAACATCCTCTTTCTTATGTCAAGACCAATTTCACCCCTACAGAAAAGATTTCTCATTTTGTTGAAAGTTGCCCTTGCAATTTCAATTCTACTCGAAATTTCTGCGAAATTGGTGACATCAGCTACTATGGTCGATCCCAGGTACTTGGTTCTATTTATCCTTTCGATCACTCGACCGTGAATCCTAAGACTATGCCTTGCTGACGGATTTTTACCCAGCACCATGTATTTGGTTTTGTCTAAATTCATTTTTAAACCATATTTTTCTGCGCAATCACTCAACGACATCATCATAAGCTGCAAGTCCTCTGCGTTGTCTGCAACAATAATAGCATCATCTGCGTATCTCACGTTATTGATTATTTCGCCATTGACTTTTATTCCAAATTGCATTTCTTCCAACGCCTCATCAAATATTGCCTCAGAGTATGCATTAAATAGCAAAGGTGACAAGATACATCCCTGACGTACTCCTCTTTTTATCTCAACTTTTTGTGAGATCCCATCATTTGTTCTTATTTGTGCAGTTTGATTCCAATACAGATTTTTAATTATTCTGATGTCTTTGCTATCTATGTTTTTACTTTCTAGAATTTCGAAGAGTTTGTCATGCTTTACCTTATCGAAAGCTTTTTCAAAGTCAATGAAACATGCATGTACCTCCACATTAGAATCTCTGCATCTCTGGATCAGTGTATTCACCACAAAAAGAGCATCTCTGGTGCCAAGCCCGTTTCTAAAACCAAACTGAGTTTCCTTAATGTCTATTTCCAGTTTGCTGAATATCCTTTTGAGAATGATTTTAAGGAATAGCTTGATTGAGTGGTTCATAAGGCTGATAGTGCGATAGTCACTGCATTTTGAAGCTCTACTTTTCTTCGGCAATGTAGTAAAAATAGAGTTCAACCATTCTTGAGGAATTTTTCCTTCATTGTATATTCTGTTGAATAGTGCAGTCATTTGTTCTATTCTATTATCATCTAACAGCTTATACAGTTCGTTTGGAATGTTGTCTGGGCCATTTGCTAATCTATTTTTTGACTGGTTGATTGCTGCCTGGACTTAAGACTTAATTATAACTGGACCACTTGCTTCCAATGGATCTGGTGTACAAACTCTAACGTCATCAAATAGATCCTCCACATACTCTTCCCATCTTTTGAGCCTGTCTTCGGGGTCAAATATTATAGATCCATTTTTATCTTTTAGATTTCCACAATTATTCTTCTTACTAATCCGTGTGACCTGTTTTATTTTTTTGTGAAGTTGCAAGAGGTTGTGCTGCTTGTCTAAGTTTTCTATCTCAGTACATTGCATCTCCCAATATTTTTGTTTCGCTAATCTTATTTTATACTTTATATCTTTATTTATTAATTTAAATTTATACTCATCAATTGCCTTATATTTTCTTCTTTTCTCCATTAACCGGAGAATTTCTTCAGACATCCAAGCTTTCCTGGCTTTATATGTTTCTCTTTTTGATAAATCGGATAATACACTATTAAAAGGTCTTTTGAATTGGCTACACTGATCATCCACATTCACTTGGCTATTGATAGTAAACCTATTTGAATACAAGTCACTATTGAGCTTTTCGGCATAGGTTTTTCTCACATCCGGATTATTTAGACGATGGAGATTCAGCTTGACATTGTCACTTTTTTTGGGACATTTTTTGAATACTATTTTCAGATTGGCAACCACTGGATTGTGATCCGAATTAACATCTGCTCCAGGGTAGGTTTTAGCATTTTTGATGGCGTTTCTAAATCGTCTGTTGACCAAAATATAGTCTATTTGGTTTTTTATTATTGACTTTGAAGAACTTTTAGGTGATGTCCATGTGTATAATCTTCTGGGTGGTAATTTGAACCAGGTATTGGTTATTACAAAATCATTATCAATACTGAATTCTACCAACTTGTCGCCACGTTCGTTTCTCTTACCAAGACCAAATTTTCCAACAGTATTTTCAACTTCACCGCTTCCAACTTTTGCATTAAAGTCCCCCATAATGATTGTTGTATCTTCTTTTTTCAAAATACTAAGCGTAGCTTCTAACTCGTTATAAAATTCATTACACTCATCGATGGTGCTATCAGAAGTTGGCGCGTAAACCTGAATAAGATTCAACATGTTATTTTTGGCCTTAAGTTGAATGAGCATAATTCTGTCTGATGTTTGAATCGATGTAGTTATCATTGCTTTCAGTTTTGATGAGACAAAAAAACCTACTCCATTTCTGTGATTGTTACTATGTGTAGAACCAGAATATATAACAAAATTTTCTGAGGTGTTAAATTCACTACAATCAATCCAGTGAGTTTCACTTATTCCAAGGACGTCTATCTCCATTCTCTTCTTCTCTTGTTCAAGGTTTTCAACTTTTCCAGCTTGTAACAAACCCCTAACATTCCAGGTAGCTATTCTAATTTCATTATTTTTGTAGATTGCTGCTACATTGTTCAATGACTTGCTGTTTGTGCTGTTATTCAAATTAACGGCGTTTGCGTGTTGCTCGATGTTGTAACTATTTTTCGATGATATTATACTAGGGAAAGAACTGATGAGGTGGTTTCCCGTTGCCTTCCTCATCTCCTATTATTATTTAATCAAAATCAAAATCCAAGGTCAGGCCGAGTTATTTGCGGTACGGTGATAATATAATATATACAATCAACTATGTATCCTTAAAAACTTCGCTTAGATTTATTACTTTATCTGTTTTATTCGACTTTAATAATTTGTCTTTTTTGTTTTTTTGTTTTTTAAGCTCAGCTTCCGGGAATTCAGAATCGTCAGAAGACCTGTTTCTCTTTTGTATATCTACGTTTTGTGTTGTTCTAGAACCAGCTCCAGATAATGCTTCTACAATGAGTTTGCCTTGTCTCAAATCCACCTTTTTACCTTCTTGCTTTAAGTTCTTTTTAACTTTTATCAGTTCAGCACGTTTGGTTCTTTGTTTGTATGTGTAATCCCCTTTGATGTAATACAGACTTCCTTCTATCAGTTTCTTGTTGTCAAGTATTTTCTGTTTTTGCAACAACGATACGAAACTGAAGAGAATAGGTCTGCTTTTCTCAGCACTATTGCTTTGACGTCCTAAACGTTTGGCGTAATTCAAGTCAGCAACCGTTGTAGGAACTTTAAGCGTGTCTTTAATAAATGAAATTACTACCTCCGGCACGTTTTCTCCTACTTGCTCCTTTATATTCCCAATGATTATATTGTTTCTGCGTGATTTGATATCGTTTAGTTCTTTCTCCGTTTCTTTCTCTTTTACTGTTTCTTCCAGGTTTGCTTTCAAAGTGGCAACTTCCAGCTTCAATTCTTCTATTTTATTGTTGGCTTGCTCAAGACTTTTGCTAACCTCCTTTACAATTTCTTCCTTATTTTTTTGCAAGCGTTCTTCAATAGATTTGTTTAATTCAATCTTTAGTTCTTGTTTAAAAGTATTGAATTCGCTCTTGAATAATTTAGCTATATCTTCAATATCAATTTTGTTACTCATGATACATCTACTTATTTTACCGGTAGCACTACAATATTAAATATGAAATTGCTAACTCTATTATGTATCAAAAAGTATCAAACAGATAGGTAACTAACTTTCGACCACTACTCTTGTCAACCCAAAATGACAGTTTGAATTCTGCAATGTTTATATTGGCACGATTTTCGCAAATCACTTCAAATAATTAATTATAGCAATTTATTATTAAATTTTTACCCCAAATCAATTCCCCCAAAAGTTCAGGCAACTATGTTGTCTGTTTTGGCAGTAATCGCAGGAGCAAAATTACGAAATCAATTGCAACAAATGTAAATCAACCCTTGCTACCAAACTCGAGTGGCAATTTAATAGCACAGCAACTGGGTACCTATCATGTACTTGAAAAAGAATTATTATATGGAGTGACTTGATTGCCAATACCAAAATTCACAACGATTTTTCCTGTTTATCAGCCTTAGATATCACCAATTACCCTTTTAAATTCAAGATTAAATTTATTCAGTTCAAAACAACAAATCTGCAAAACAAAAAAGTGTACTGTACACACGAAATAATCTATGAACTGAAATCCGCTAAAACCGTACAGTACGTAAATTTTTCTTTTACATATATGTAACTTAAACAAAAACTCAATTATTTAATCTAGTTTTTTTTTTCAGCACAACTATGTAATCATGCAATTTTCCGCAAAAACCTTTATCCCGAACAAATATGCACAATTTAATGTACAATTTATCAACAATCACTGGCGTAAACTATTTTATTTTAATTTTTAAATCAGAGCAAAATAATAATCAACCGCACTTCTCAATATACCTTGACCGTCATCTCTATATGTCCATTCTACATTCCATTTATCCTTTTTTTATAATTTTTTAACTTCTCTAAGGTGAAAAATTTTTCCATCCACTTTTCATATTTGTTAAATTATTCTTGAGTTGATTTGTTTCCTCAATCAATTCAGCATTTTGTTTTACAAAATTTTTTCATTTCTTTTGCAAATCAAAAAGTTTCAATTGCAGCGCACATTCAAACTCATAATTGTATACCATTATTAGATTTGAATAATAAATTCAAAGAAATAAATATTTGCTACCTTACTCAGTTTTTACGGTAGAAAATTTAGGAACTCTCAGTTTCCATAATTCATTATTTAGCAAAAGTTTTTATCCTTTTTTTAAGGAGAGAGAGATTTATAAGATTGGTTCTAAATGTGTAATCTTCACTGTTAAAATGCAAGGAGCATACCCCAGCATTTTTCATAATTAGTTTTCATATTTTCACTTTTGATGCAATACACCATAATATAATTTAATTTTTATAATCAAAAAAAAAAATTAAAATGTTTTTTTTTTTCTTCGAAAAATTTTAAAATTAAATTTGCATTTACATGTATGTTTTTTTTAATTTTCACAAGAGTTCACAAAAACCAAATCGCATTACTTAAAAAAATGTAAACAATGAAAATATGCTCCAGGATACGTAAGATTTTTGAAAAATGGCATCGGAGATTTCTTATTAAGCATACCTTGTTACCATGCTGTAACTTATAAAAAATAAAGCTGTCCCGAAAATTTAAATTTTTCAAAAGTTATACAATAAATAGTTCTGTCTGGGATAAAACTTGAAAAACTTTAAAAAGAGAAACAATAGCGAAATTTTTCGCAAAAAAAAAAAATAAACCAGATGAAAAACTTGAAAATAACTTAAAAACTTTATATTTGATAAACATAAAGTTTCAAAGTATGTATTTATCAAACATATATTTTTCGTTTATACAAAAAACTGAAAATATTGATTTTTGATTATAAAAGTGTGAAACTTAAAAAAACCGCTTGTGAACCCATTTTGGTTATTTTATTTTTAGCTGAAAAGTTTTGAAAAAAAAAATTATTGTTGATCAAAAATTTTTTTTTCAAATATAAAACTTTCTGACATAACCAAGAAAAACATATGTTTCGAAAGCTGTAAGATTTTAAATTTTTAAAACACTAAACTTTACTTACCAAACCTTAAAAAACTTTAAACATTGAGAAAATGAGAATGTCATCATTTTTTTTAAAAAAGTATTATCCCTAATCCCAGACGCTTTGCATGCAAAAACTTTATAAAGTTTTCAAAGGTTTTTAAAAGCTTTCTCATACCAGACAAACCTAATAGGGATGTTTTACATGAGCAGCTAAAGACTATTGGGTACGTTCAGCAAACTAAAGCGCCTTGATAAATTGCGACGCTTAGTTGATTATCGATGCAGAGCTCAACTGAACGATTTGCAGCACTTTATTTTTGCTTTAAAAAATAAAACTTTTGCTATATTGACGGCTGCCTGTTTTATTTTTCTTTATTTTAAATTTTTAAAAAGACAAACAGAACGGAGAGTGATAATGGTAATGGATAGTACTTATTTTAAAATAATACAAATTATATTTTAAATAAACTACAGAACCATTGCAATTATTTTTGCTTTATTCATTTTTTTTAAATAATATCCCTTTTTAAAAAATTATGTCCAATAATTGTTCTTTTTGTAATTTTTAAGTGAAATATATGTATATGACATCCAAATGTCAAAGTTAACCCGCTGTATGAACGCATCCATTGTATCAATAAAAATCAAATGCGTCAATATACATTTCTTTTGCAGTTGTTGAACTAAGTTACTCTTTATTTTTAACTCTAAGGCACAAGTAAAGTGTCCTTATATATAAGACAAAACCTAACCAACCTAAAAACAAGTAAAAACGATTCAGTCGATACAAACCGATATAAAATTATTATATCCCAAGTATTCGAACTTGGCAAACCACTCTATAGAACCTGCATGGATATGTCTGACCTATAATTGGACACACAACTGCAAAGTTTCATGAAATTGACAAACCTGTCAACCCATTCCATAAAAACTTCAGGGAATGTGTGGCCTGATATTGGACACGCGACTGCCAAGTTTTATGAATCTAATTCTATTATTTTCCCAAAAAATTAAAACTTGCTTTTGGAGTTGTATCGCAGCTACGCGAACCACTGCAGCTATTCCATTAAAATTTTTCAGAATATACATATGTAGAGTAATTCGACACATTTGTGCAAAATTTGATAGTCATATCTTTAATAATTTTTGAATTATTTAAAAAAAAAACTCTTTGGGCTGTGTGGCAGATCCAATTACAATAGCAGCTGTTTGCATAAAAGAAACAACTTGTGAACGTTTGGAAACAATACAGAATTTTACGCTGAGCAACAATACATATATACATTTTATATTTCCACTCTAAAGGCGACTTCTTCAAATGGTTGCAAACTCCATACCAAATTGAATATATCCTTCATTTTATACCAGGGTATAAAATGAAGTAATTTTAAATGTAAAAACTGAAAGGATGTAGAAAAATTTTTTGTTCTATTTTTATTTGTTTATTCTTGTTTTTGTAATTTTGTTGAGTGTCATTATGTAAAAAAGTTTGTTTATTGTAAAGTTTTGTTTATTTTTGTTGCAATAACTGACAGCTGACGTTGACGTATAAACGTACTTGCGTATAAAAATAGTACGACTTCGTTGATATTAGGAACTAAATCCCCGAAATAGTGCCATGATTATTTATTTGCCTAACTCAAATTCTCAGATGGAGACTTTATCCGAAATTTAACCCTTTACGCTTCGTGCCTTTTTTGCGCCTGTTGGAAGTCAACTCCAAGGACTTTTAGGAAATATTTTGTAATCACAATACTTTGAAAAAAATTTTGCAGTTTTTGGAAAAATGATTTTTTATTAAGGAGAATTAACTCAAAAACTTAAATAACTTGAATGTATCTAAAAATAAATTCAAATTCAAAATATTTAATTTGGTTGACATTTTTTTTATAACATATACGGAAAAAAGCAATTTTGAAGAAGTTTTTGTAGAAGAGTATTAAACATCTCTAAATTATTTAAATATTGATTAATAATATAAAAATTTCTTCGTATATTAGGGTAAATTAATTTATGAAACAGTCGCCTACATGTAGATCGGGTTTTCTTGTACATGTATCACAATAGAGAGTTGTCCTTTTTCTTCCAGGACCAGCTCAAATTGTGAAATAATTAACCGTTAAGATCGCAAATGCAAACAAAACAACAAAGAACAGAGGGAGAACATGTTTAATGTTAAAAAAGTAACGGTATCAACTATAAATTCATGTTTTAACCAGAAATAATTACGAAATAAAATGTTGCCAGTAAGCAGTAGGTAGTTGGAGTAGACCGTTTTTACTTGTTATGCCAGCCAGACCGGTAGTTGAAGTCCAAAGGGTTAATACTATTGCTACAAAAGTTATCAATAGAATCAGCTGATCGGTGATTGCTAAAAAAATTAATTGTCGCCATTTTACTTTAAATAAATCTGACAGTTAATCTGATGAGTTAAAACTAATTTCATATTTTTCTGGTGGACAAAATCTGTACTACTTTTACCAGACTCAGATTAAATCTTAGTTACTTTGCATATATATAACACAAAATTAAAGAGTTACTGTATACTCTGTATGAGCAGATTTGCTCGTTGGAAAATGAATAATATTAAATAAGGAAATCTGGGTTCTACGAATAAATAACGGAAATCAATCTGTTCTAATCAGATTTTAAGAAAAAGTCGGTTTTAAAAAAAATTACGAAATTAATTTTTTTTATTTTTGAACACCGATTAGCTGATTTTTATTTTGATTCTAATATTCCTAGTAAATTTTTAAATTTTGACATAAAATCTGAGATAAATTCAGTCATCAGATTTTACCGTAGATTAATTCTTATAATTTGACGTATGTATATCTAAACAGCACATAACAAATTTTTTCTGATTGGGTTAAGTGAAATGTGTATCGTAAATATTAAACACATGTATATAACATCCATTAGCAACAATTCTGTTGTTGATTGTCTATAACTCAATTTTCAATAAATTTGTGACTTAAAAGAAATTTCTTTGTCTAAAAAAAATAATAAATAAATTACTTGTTCGCAAAATTAAGTGTGAATCATTTTTTGATATAAAAGAACAGAAACAAAATGCCTGATGATTCACTGAAAAGAAGCTCCAGCTTTGAACTGAAAAAGGAAGAAGAAATTGAAAATAGGTCATCTATTAACAGCTTGGGAACCACTGAGGATATGAAATTTGTTTTAATCAGCTCAAATGGCAGTCCACCGAAGGTTTTGTCTTTCGATGAGGTGTCTCAATTGTCGAAAAATCTTGAAAATATGGCTTTAATACATGAAATTGCCTTGAATCCTGATTTTAAGTTAAAACCTTACGAACCATGTAACACCTTAGAAAAGGTTGTTAAAGAAATGATGCATAAAGCTTTTTGGAATGTTTTAAAAGAGCAACTAAACAGTAATCCTCCTTGTTATGATCATGCTTTGCAATTGCTCCGTGAAATTAAAGAATGTTTTCCTTATATAATATTAGAAAAAAATAAAAAGGTTTTGGAACTCATTAACGAAAAACTGGATCCGTCCATAATATATGAGCAGGCTAGAAATAACTCTCTAAATTTTAGGGCTTATGCTGATTTTGTAATTGATATATTAGCGAAATCTTGTGCTCCAATAAGGGACGAACAAATACAAAACTTAACAAAAATTGAAGATGTTGTTGAAGTGTTCAAAGGAATATTGGAAGCGATTGCTGTAATGAAATTGGATATGGCAAATTGTATTTTAGAACTTACAAAAAATGAACTTATTGCCAACGCTATTGAATACGAAAAACTCAAATTTCAGGAAACATTAAAATATGATAAAAATTTTCCAGGGATAAAAATGTGGCTAAAACGAAATGAAGTTAGATTCGAAAATGCCAGCAAAATAAACTCCAATGAAACCATTTTTAGAGCATATATAGAACTTTTAGATTGGACAACGAGTAATATTTATCCTGAAGTTTTTTCGCATGACAAAAGCAGATTAGAAAGATTGTCTACTACAGCAAAAAAATTATGCTTTCTGTCTACTATTTGTGCAGTTTTGCAATCGATTCCTCTATTTAAAAAAGAAAGATTAAAAATGTTTTCCAATGAAATTCTTATTCTTCTTGACGCTGCGGGATCTGAAATTGATTTTCAAGACTCTAGGGAAAGTATTTGGATTCATATTCTTGCAACTTTTTCTCAAGGCAATGAAAGTCAAATGCGTGTTGACAATGATAATTTAAAAGAAAACTTTTTTTATGCTATTGCAAAGGGTTCACCTGTTTATTGTTTAATGTGGAAAAGATTAATAACCTATATTTGCATAATTTTAAAAACTAAGAATTCCCCTCCTCCCCCGCCTGGTTATGAGATTTATGAAACTGAGCTAAGAACATTTGCGCTGAATTTCAAACGAATTGTTATGTACAACTATTCAGTTTATGGAGAGCATTACTTAAAAGTTATACAAGAAAATGAAATATGAGGAAACTTGATTTTCATCTAATCCGAGTTCTTTTTGTGAATGGGACTTGAAATGAAAAATTTTTACTAAATGAATATTAGCTGTAAATTAAACCAATTTAACATGCCTATAATATTGCACGATAAAAAAGTTCACATAAATTATACAATAAACTTACTGATAAATGGTTGACATTTTCGATTCCAATTCAAATATTGGATTAAAACATTTACATAATTTCTACAAAAATTTCGCATGAAGTTACTGTATAGTATATAATAAGCATATATATATATATATATATATATATGAATATGTAAGTACATATTAATAAATTAATGAAAACTATATACTTATATTGGTTATCAGTTTTTGTGGGTGTAATTGTGGAAAATCTACAGCCTTATCATGAATTTCGTTCGTAGCTCCGATATTCGGAAAATTACGAATTTCATATTGTCCATTTCGAACTACTAATATTATAATTCAATATTCGTAACAGAGTAGTCATAAATTACGTTCGTAGTAAAAATAACACTCAATAGTCTACGAAAGAAATACACGTAACAACCAATTTAAGGAGAGATCGTTATAAATTTTCAAGCTTTAATTTTTTTTGTTTGTTCTTACAAAATAGCTACCATGAAACGAAAGTAATTCACATTTGAAAAAAAAATTCAATAACTATAAAAAACTCTAAAACTCCGTTTCTAAAAAATATCCTTTATGAATATTTTGTACTGAAACAGCAATAAAAACATAGAATTTTACGAGGAAAATTCATGTTAGGGCTTTTAATCTAGTTAAAAGAACAAAATGTGTAAATGTTTGATGGAACTTCTTTATTATCCGAAACTAACTTTATTAGCAAAAATCAGCTGAAAGAGTTAAATATAATATGAACCTCAACTTTAAAAAACATAAGTTCGAATTTTTTCCATATATGTACATAGATTAACTTTTGTAAGTGGTACAAAAATGGAATATTTAACCCAACATACGTTATGTACATACATAAAATACATAGTATGTACACACTACCCTGTTATCACTATCTCAAAAAAAGGAAGGAAAAAAAAAATGCTAAAACAAAAACTAGTGAAAAATTAGTGAATGCTAAACGGTTGTATTATTCATTTAGAATAACTTTTTTCCATATAGGATTACATGCAATGCACAACGGCAACTTTTTTTGACAGTTCATTTTGTAATGATAATACTACGGCTGACTTAAATACAGGTCTTGACCCTAAGAGAGAGAGGTAGTTCACAGTTGACGAATTTACACGTATTCTTATGGGGCCTATAGAGGGCACTTTTTAACATCATAATCTCTCACAAGATCAACTTTTTTCAAATTTTTAATTAGAACAAGTTAAAATTCAATCTTTTTCTATTTTAATAGTGTTTTAAAGTTTTGTGATATTAAAACATTAAAAAATTGTTTTAAAAAAACCTTCCAGGTTCCGTTAATTTTTTTAAGATTTCAATAAATGCTACACTATAGGAAAAAAAATAGTGCGATTTTTCTTTCGAAGTATTTAGTTGATTTTGGTGTATTTTTTCAAATTTGAGAATATTTACATTTGGTATTAACGATTTGCTTATTTTGTATGATATATCTCCCAAAATGCATACTTCTGATACAATCACATATATATCTACATATTTTTCATGTGTATAATATATTAACTAAACTTATGTGCTTCATAATTCATTACTGCACATGTGAATTATTTTTATATTAAGAGTCCATATAATTTTTTTAGGTATGTAGCACCAAATTTTTTTTTATTCACTGTATTATTATTTTTTACTCTCGATTCTCTCAAATATGTTGTCTGACATGGCGGTACAAAAAATGCGGAAAAAACTCAAAAATATATTTAATCAAAATTGAGTTAAAATTTTGAGTTGATATTTGAATTTTTTTATATGTTGTTTAGAAATCTCCAAATTTCATGTTAGTATAAATTATTAATTTTTAGTCAACTTTTCGTAAAGAAAACTAGAAATGAAAATAGGCAAAAATTATAACTTTTCTAAAAAAACAACGAAAAAAAATTATTCTTAAGAAATGTTATTTCTCAAAAAATACGTATGCAATTTTACAAATACATTCACAAAAAAGCAGGGTCCAGGCCTTGATTTTTGTAATGTCAAGGATGATACCAAAAATGAAGAAGTTCACTTGAATGTGACTTGTGAGTGATGAAAGCAGTAATGACAGGCCCATAATAAGTATATAGGAATGTATCTTGTTTTTTTCTTGTAGCTTTCGTTATTCTAATTTTTTTAAAACATATTTCTATGTTTCTAATTATTTCTAATTTTTTTTAAAACATATAAAATGCAAAAGCTTTTTTGCAGATAGGTTAAGTAATGTCTTTATATCTAACAAGTCCCAATGCTCAGAGAGAAACTTGAAAGCACGACCTTATTTTATATGGGTTTTTTTAAATCGAAGTGGCTATTTTTTGAGAGGAAATATTAAAATAAATTCACACTTATTATAAAGCAGGTAAAATTTAGAAAATATATTTGAAAAATGAAAAAAATATATTAATAGTTTCATTGATAACTATTTTAAAATTATAAAAAAAGCGGAAAAACAACAAGCACATCCTTCGCCTTCAACGTTTTATATGTTACTGAAAGCATTTCATTATTTTTAAGTGAACAGTTTTTTTTTCTCATAAGGTAAGTTAACTCAAGATATGGGAAGTAACAATGGTGTCAAGTTGAAAATATAATTAATGAAAGATAATTCTTAAACATTGATATAAATACATAGTAAAGAAAAAATTTGAAGAGGGAATTAGAAAATAATATCTAAAATACAATCAAATATTATTTTTTAAATACAAATTTTATATAAACTTCAAAATTTTACCTCTATTTTTATTTGAAAAAATATTAAAAACTTACTATCATTTATATCAATTACCTAAGAAAAAAAAAAATATTTAAAATGTTTGGAAAGAACAATCATATATTTTTATGACCGGATTTGAATATTTTTTTATTTTTGAAATAAATGATATTTGACCAAATGACTCAAAAATTCCGACTGTAAAATAACAGGTATTTTAAAATTTTTGTTCAGGTATTTTAAAATTCTTTCCGTTTAGAATTAAGATAGGTCATACATACACATGCAGGGACATTTCATAAATAGATTGCTCTTGTTTACCTGCTAATAAAATATGAAAAAAGAGCACAGCAAAATTTTTGAAGCACTCAATATAACATGTTTGAAATAGTTTTAAAATAATTATTTAAAAAAAAATTATTAGAAGTAACATACATATTTATTTTTAATAGCTTAAAAACTAACTGAAATTATTTGAAACAATTTTATAAGTAACGTATGAATAATCGAAATGAGATAATTCAAATTGTGTCAACCTATATTACTTTTAATAACATTTTTGTTAGCCGACACTACTCAACTTACCTTATTGGGAAATACAAAATGTGCATAAAAAATCATACATCCTTCCTCATTAACATTTGAAACCATACTGAAATATGAATTTGAAATTTTTTTTCATTTTTTCTTTCCTCCTACCTTTCTTTCTTTTTCGTGCAATAGAATTTAAATGGGAAGCTTTTTAAAAAATGTGTATAGTATCCTGAGATTTTTTAAAATATTAAACTCTTTTTTACGTAAAAAAAAGAAAAAAATAATAAAAAATATGACACGATCAGTGGCATTTAAAGAAAAAACCAGCAACGAAGCCAAAAATTCGTAATATTTCGTAAAAAAAATTGAGTATTGGGACTTGTTAGATATAAAGACATTAGGTTAAGATTTAAATATTTCAGTTTTGTTAAAAAAAAGACGTTGATATACGAAACAACACGATAATAGAATCAACATGTAAATATCGTGTAGGAATAATGGTTGCCAACTGAAAGTGAAAAGATTCTCAGAACTAAATACAAATGAAAATAAATGAAAAGATTTTCACACCAATAGGTTTTTATTTGTTTGTACAGAAACTACATGCTCTTACTAAATACCTTAATAAGTGTGTACCGCGTATATGTATGCCGACCTATACTCAAATTTATACGCGCGCTGTTCATATATGAAATCTAAATACCGAAAGACAAAATGACAAAAACTCAAAAATACAAAAAAAAAATACTTTCACATATCTTCTCAGTTTTTAAAATTTAAAAATTGTACGTTGAATTTACAATGAGAATTCCAACGATGCGTATTTCGCACGTTTGGATTCTCATTTAAATAGACGTTAGGTTGAACGCTGAAACAAAAAGAAAATGAGAAAAAATAGAGTTGATCGTATCAACTCTGTCATACCCGTACGAATTTGTTATCTTATGTTCGAGTAAAAATGCCATAGCGGATTACGGGACAGACTATGATTTTAAGTTACCGTATTATCATTTTAATTTATGCAAAATTTCAGTGTTATGTTTCAATATTTTCTAAGATATGACCAAGCTATTGAAGTTGTATGACAGTTGACATACAAGGAGTCAAGAACTTTCAACAGTTTTTATCACACATAACCGCCCTAATAATAATACACTTATTTTCATAAAATTTTTATATTATAGCTTTAATCATTTCTGAGAAAATGCCAAATAACTTTTGGAGTTGTATAGCAACTATCAGAAGCAGTCTTGAGATCTCAATAACTTTTAATGAATATGGCTTCCATTTTTCCATATTTTATTTTGCGAAGTTTCAGTACTTTAGTTTGAATAGTTTTTAAGATATAGAGAAATAGCTTTCCAATTTATATGGCGGCTATCAGAAGGCGCAATGCAATTTCAATTATTTTCATCAAACACAACAGCCCTATTAATATATTCGCTTGCGCAAAAATTTAATACTATTAAGTCTATAATTTCTTAGATAGAGCCAAAAAAATTTTCAAGTTGTATGGCAGCTACCTGAACTAGTACCTCAATCATATTCAATTTTTACTTTAAAAAATCATTTGTGAAAATTTGGTGAACTTAACTCCATTAGTTTCTGAATTATCGGGACGGAAAGGCAAAGCTAAGTCGACTCAGAATTCGATGCTGATCAAAAACATAAACTTGAGTCTATCTATATCTCAGATCATTATTTCTTAGCGTTACAAATGGTAAGGCAAATTTATAATACCCTTCGTATACTATGTATTTATTGTACATAATGTAACATCATAGAGTGTAAATCTTTTAAAATTGTAATTTTCTAGAAAATTTTCAAAAAATAAAAAAACGCGATAATTTTCAATTCGCAAAGCATATTATACGAAAAATATACCTTTAGTTCATTCTAATTAAATAATTGTACTACATATGTATATCCATCATGTCTGGT